AGGGAACACGAAAGGTCATCTAGTCCGACCTCCCCGCAGTCGGCAGGGACACCCCCAACTAGACCAGGTTGCCCAGAGCCTCGTCGAGCCTCTCCTTGAATATCTCCAGGGATGGGGCCTCAACCCCTGGGCCCTTACCCCAAGGGGCCTCAACCCCAGAGGCCTTACCCCTGGGCAACCTGTTCCAGTGCTCCACCACCCTGAGGTGCTCCATCCCCCTGATCATCCTTGTGGCCCTCCTCTGGACCCTCTCCATCAGGTCCATGTCTGTCCTATACTGAGGGCTCCAGACCTGCACACAATACTCCAGGTGAGGTCTCACCAAAGCAGAGTAAAGCAGAAGAGTCACCTCTCTGGACCTGCTGGCAACGCATCTTTTGATGCAGCCCAGGATGGGATTGTCCTTCTGGGCTGCAAGTGCCCACTGCCTGCTCATGTCCAGCTTCTCATCCACCAGCACCCCCAAGTCCCTTTCCTCAGGGCTGCTTTCTAATACCTCACCGCCTAGCCTGTACTGAGGGAGAAGATTGTTCTGGCCCAGGTGCAGAACCTTGCACTTGCTCTTGGTAAACCTCATGAGGTTCACCTGGGCCCACCTCTCCAGCCTGTCCAGGGCCTTCTGGATGACATCCCATCCCTCTGGTGTATTGACACCACCACACAGCCTGGTGTTGTCTGCAAACTTGCTGATGGTGCATTTAATCCCTCTCTCTATATAATTGATAAAAATGTTAAACAGTATCAGTCCCAGCACGGACCCTTGAGGGACACCAGATGGAGAGCAGTGACAACTGGACTTCAAGCCATTGAGTACTACCCTCTGGATGCGACCATCCACTGAACAGTCCACCCATCAAATCCATACCCTTCAATTTGGCGAGCAGGATGTTGTGGGGGACCATGTCAAAGGCCTTACAGAAGTCCAGACAGATCACATCCAGATAGTGTCACTCATTGCACCAGCCCTGTAACCAACAGCTCCCCTGAATGTCCCCAGAGAGGGGTGGGGAAAGCTTTTTACGTGGGCAGTAGGAACTCTACAAATAGACCAGCCCAGAGGAAAGGTCTTCTGCTTGATTGCACTTCAGGACTAAGCTCAGGAGGTGGGAGAGCCATCGTGCCAGCTAACCTCCCGTTCAGACAGAGCGCTGCCGCCGGGGGCACCGAGTGCTGCCCCAGCAACAGCAGGGGGACCTGAGAGCAGCTTCTGGGAATTACGTGCGAGTGCCAGTGCAAGAGCTGCATTTGCTGGCATCCCTGGGACAAGTGTTTGAATAAGCCACCGTCCCCAGTTTGTGGAGCCCTTAACTGTAGAGCTCCAGCTGCTTTCCTGCCCTCAGAGTCATTGAGAAGTCAAGAGACTTGGGTGCCAGAGGAAGGGGTGCCAGGGCCAGCCTGCAAGGAGCAGGGACACCTTGTCCCCAGCCAGAGTCGGGCAGTACGGAGTGCTGGCTGTTGGTGTGATGTGACCTCAGATGCAGAGCAGCCTGCCCTGGCCAGCACTAGCCAGCTGGTCTGTGACCAGGGCCGTGTTCCTGTTCCTTTTGCAGCACAACCTCCCAGGCCATTCAGACGGGGATGAAGATGAACGCGGAGTTCATCATGCTCAACCACTTCAGTCAGAGATACGCCAAGATCCCGCTCTTCAGCGAAGACTTCAGTGAGAAGGTTGGGATCGCGTTCGATCACATGAGGGTGAGTTGGGAGCTTTGATCCAGACCGTGGGACGGGTTTCACTGTTACTTTGGGATGGTGAATTAAATTCTCCACTCGTAATGCTGTATCGATACACCATCTGCTGACGAGCAATCTCTGAAACAGCTCCTTTTGTTGCTGGCAGCAGACACCGTGGTGAATGGGTGGCACAGAGTGAGACGGGCCGATGGCCCTTGGGAACACAAGTCCAGTTTTAGCACACTGGGTACTTGCCTCATGTCACCTTGATTCTGTGCACGCTACTCCCAGCTGAAAACCTAATTTTGCTTCAATTCCCATTCCTGTCTTAATTGGTGACCTGCAAAAGACAGGACCCAAAAGCTGCTGCAGTTGGTTTGAAGGTAGTGGTAGCAGGGAGAATAGCTCACTAATCAATCAGAGCTTGTGCAGTGTCCACATTGTTTCTTGTAAATGTAAAGAAAGTAAGTAACTTGGCATATAGGATCTGCGTAGGGTTGGAAATGAAGACCTGGCAGTTGAAGCTTGTTGGGCAGGACTGCGCTGCACTGGGTGCTGCACAGAGGATGAAGCAGGTCCTGCCACCTGAACAGGGACAGAGGGGGAAGAAGGAAAACAAAGAGCAATTCTCACGCAGGTACTCCTGTGTCTCACGTGTTTCAGGTCCGTTTTGGTGACTTCCCGACTATCCCGAAGCTGATCCCACCTCTGAAAGCTTTGTTTGCAGATGACATTGTAGAAATGGAGGAGCGGAAGGAGAAACGGGAGATGCGTCTTCTGAAGGAGACCTCTGTAGCCTTGGACAAACTGGCTGGTGGGGAGAACAAAGAAGCATCGTGCCAGAAACGGAAACAAGCTAAGAACCATCAGGAACTATCAAACAAGAAGCTTAAAACAGTGAACTGAAAGAAGCAAGGCTGAGAAAGCTCTGCTCTGCAAGAGGTGCCTTGCTCTGGGCAGGGCCTGGGAGCGTGCGGTGCTGGGGGCTGCCCGTGGGCACCGTGGAAGGGGGTGGCCTCAGCACCTGGGGCTGCCTGGCCCTGGTGGGGCTCTGGGGGCTGAAGCTCCCACACGTGCTGTCGGCAGCGCCTGGCTTGGGGCAACAGTATCTGCCCCTGCCCTTCCTGCTCCTGGGTCTCACCAATCCATGTGTCATTTTTCTTTTAGCCAAAAGTTCTCTCCCAACTGTTTTAGTTTTTGGTTTTATGGTAGAAGCTATTGATAGTGCAGCAACAGCAGCGGTGATCTTTGCAAGAGAGCGCATTTGAGAAGCCCTTGAGGGGCCGTGGATTTGCCACAATAAGGCGGGCAAGTCTCTGGGTCATGAGGAATGTACCCAGGCATCAGAACCCAGCTCCCACGAGGAAACTTCACAATAAAATGGGACACAATTTTTAGGTTACCTTAGGGAAGTGAATACTGCTATGTTCCCATTTTATTTTGGTTTTCTCAGCTGTGGGTTGTTTTTTTTTTCATAAGATCAGTTTTCCAAGACCTCTAGAATCTGAATAAACCACTCACCATCTTCCAGGAGGCTGTGTTTTGTCCAGATGGCTAATGAAGACTCAGTAAGGGAGCACAGACACCTGAATTGCTCCAGAGAATGACCTCGGTTGGCTGTTTCTGCGTTACAGCATTGGTGTAAAGACCAAGATCTTGCTCTGTTCTGCTTGTGTTTGATGCCAGCAAAATCATACCTGCCTCTGCCACCCTGCAGCCAGGAGTTTCACTTCTCTCCCTTCAAGCTGGTAACAACGTGGGGTGGCTTTTGAATGGCTGCAGAACAGACAACTGAGAGTTTCCTTGAACAGATCCCAGCCCTGGATGCAGGGGATGGGAGAGCTGGCAAAGCCGCCTGCTGTGGCAGGGCTGTGGTGAAGAAAAGTGTTTTCAAGGCTTTCTGTGGGTCAGCTCTGCTTCTTCCCTTACCCCTACAACAGCTGCATGTGTTGGCAAGCAGGAGCAGCTGTGCTCTGTTTCAATGCAGGAGCTCATTTTCAGAGGGAAGGTGACAGTATGTGCTTGCTCAGCAAATATTAAAGATTTAAGATGTTATTTTAAGGCCAAGGAAGATGAAGACACAAACTGGCAGCAAAGCATCTTTTGTCGATGAGCTGTGCTTTAGTATTATGCTTGTCTACAGTGGGAACTGGGTTGTTGGCACAGCTGGGTATTACAGAAAAGGTCTGCTGGGCTTTGGGGAATAGCAGGGGCTGGGGAAAGACCAAGCAAGTGCTTCTTGTGCAGGTGTGAACAGGACCCCAGTGGGGTGCCCAGGGGAGGGCAGGGGTAGAGATGGGGGAGGACAAGCACCCTCAGCCTCTGCTTCTGTTCATAGATCTGAAGAAGAGTCTTTTATTTAGAAAACAATGAAACAAAACTTTTTTAATGAATGACCAGGTATTAATAAAGTGCTAATACACTAGTGTTAAGAGACCATGGCACGCACCTCCAGCTCTGGGTGGTTGATGCAAGTGTGGTGATGGGAATCACAGAATCTTCACGGTTGGAAGGGACCTCTGAGATTGAGTCCAACCATTAAAAAAAAAACAAACTAAAAAAACCTCATACGCACAAAAAAACAAACCAAAAACCACCACACAACACCCCACGCCCCACCCCTGCACAACAGACACAAGCCAACAATCCCAGGCACTAGAGCACACCCTGAAGAGCCATGTCTACACGTTTCTTAAATACCTCCAGGGATGGGGACTCCACCACCTCCCTGGGCAGGCTGTTCCAGTGCCTGACCACCCTCTCAGGAAAGTCATTCTTCCCAATATCTAATCTAAACCTCCCCTGCCCCAACTTCAGACCATTTCCTCTGGTCCTGTCATTATTCCCTTGGGAGAAGAGGCCAACCCCCACCTCTCTACACCCTCCTTTCAGGTAGTTGTAGAGGGCAATGAGGTCTCCCCTCAGCGTCCTCTTCTCCAAACTCAACATGCCCAGTTCCCTCAGCCTCTCCTCACAGGACTTGCTCTCCAGACCCCTCCCCAGCTTGGTGGCTCTCCTCTGGACACCCTCCAGCAGCTCAATGTCCTTCCTGTGGTGAGGGGCCCAGAACTGAACCCAGCCCTCGAGGTGAGGCCTCACCAGTGCCCAGTCCAGAGGCACCATCCCTGCCCTGCTCCTGCTGGCCACGCTGCTCCTGACACGGCCGGGATGCTGTTGGCCTTCTTGGCCACCTGGGCACCCTGCTGGCTCACGTTAAGCCGGCTGGCCACCACCATGTCCACTGGGACAATGGGACGTTGACCCAGGCCCAGGCTCCCGCGCTTCCCGCTGAGGGAGAGCCTCCCCGGGCTGAGGCCGGCGCTGGGTCCCGCCCTCGGCGCCTCAGGGTCCCCGGGGCAACGGCGGCTCCTCCCCGCAAACACCGGCAGGATGGAGAAGGAGGAGGAGGAGGAGGCGGCGGCGGGGCGGCTGTGGGGGCTCG